TGAATTGGACTGAAATAGAATATTTTCAGTTCGATAATTATAAGCTTATCCCAGCTAGAGTAAACCACTGGACCAATTGTAAAATTGTGTATCAACATCTAGATATATCACTAATTAATAGCTCTACTCTAGTTGAGACTAGCAATAGAATACTAGCCAAAATATTTTACTCTGGTAATGACAAACATAGAATGTGGCAGTAATAGTCAGGCAAAATGAAAATAAGGAGTTAAACCAAGAGAGTTTCACAAAAACTGTGAAGCCAACAATTTGTTTGTTGCAAATACACACTTTAGGTGATGGAAGAGAGAATTGTACATGTGGATTATCATCAATGTCTGTAACCAGGTAAAATAAAGAAATCAAATAGATTTGATGTTTTATTCTGTATGCAAAAACAAGACCAGGAGTGGCCTGTGATACAAACTATAAACACTATCTGTCAAAAACTAGAATAAAGCTGAAGAAGCACATAAAAAATTATAGTGTCAAAATAAATTTAAATACTGTTCCTGAACCATTTAAAGACCACATGATGAATATATTTGTATTACTCAAGCATAACTGACTGTGATCTACAAGAACTGTGGATAGAAACCAGAGATATTATGAGAGAAGAATGCAAAAAGACAATTCCTGTTGCCAAAAGAAAAGAAAAGCCATAAAAGTAATGAATAGCACTTTAAAAATAGATAAATACAGATCAGGAGCAAAAGTACAAGGTGAAAGAAACAGTGTCAGAATCCTAAATGTAACTTTTTAAAGTGATTTCCACATAGGTACCATGTTTCCCTGAAAATAAGACAGGGTCTTATATTAATCTTTGCTCCAAAAAACGCATTAAGGCTTATTTTCAGGGGATTTTTTTTCCATGTATAACAATCTACATTTATTCAAATACAGTCATGTCATCATATTCTGGTTGCTGCACAATGGTGGAGGGAGGGTTTTCAGTTAATTGTGGCTTATTTTTGGGGTAGGGCTTATATTATGAGCATCCTGAAAAATCATACTAAAGCTTATTTTCAGGTTAGGTCTTATTTTCAGGGAAACTGGGTACATTATAGTACTATAATTACCATTGCAAAGAAATAGAAGAGAAAGAGGAAAAAAAAATTTTTCATAAGAGCCAAGAAATGAAAGGGAAGTTTAATCCAAGATATAATGCTGAAAAGTCAATAGGACATCCTGATTCTATTCTAATTAGGTAATATATTATTTCATTAGGATGAAATAAAACAAAGATGGAAATAAAATACCACAAAACTACACAGAGAGGACCCAAGGATGATAGATTTTTTCAAAGAAGAATTTTTTGTGAAGAATCTGCAGTTTTAGAAAGTGAAATGAATGTTTCTGTCAAAGCAATTGGAAATAATAAATCAGATTGCACATATGCAGACTGTTTCCATATTCAGGGGCATGTTCCACATTCAAAGGATTTTGAGAAACAGAGTATCTGCTGTCTGAAATCTGTCTAGTGATATCCCAGAACAGATGGGACATCACTAGACCTGTTTCAAGCAGCAGATACCCAGTTTCTCAAAATGCCGTTGAATATGGGAAACAAAACAGTGGCCCACAATCTGCAAATGTGCAATATATATTTTCTCAATCCTAAATAAAGGAGATATCAAATATTGCAGCAACCATAAGCCCACTGAATTAATTTCCCATGTAAGTAAAGTGATGCTCAAGGTTTTGCAATTTTTGCCATATATACAACAAGAAATGCCAGATGTTCAAGTTAGATTCGACAGAGATGAGGCACTAGAGATCACATTTCAAATATACTCTAGCCACTGAAGCATACCAAAGAAGTTAAGGGAAGAAAATCAATTTGTGATGTATAGGTTACAGTGATGGTTACAGCAATGCTTTTGATTGTATGGATCATGAAATGCTACAGATTGTTCTGAAATTTCTAAAAGAAACAGGTGTTCCACTGCATTTTATTGTCTTGGTGTGTAATCTGTATCCTGGGCAAGAGGTTATCATTCGGACAGCACATATAGAAATAAAATTGCTTCTACTTGGCAAAGGCACCAGACAAGGGCTCCCCCCGACCCCAGTTTTGGTCAATCACTATGCAGGATATATCACACAAAAAACCCCACAATGAATTAGATTCAGATAAAGGAGGAGTAAAAACAAGTGGAAGAAATGTATTTACAATCTTGCATGCTGTCTGCAGTTTCAGTGATTGCGAGAGGTTTTCTGGGTAGGGGTGATTATCTATTCAGCACTAACCAATAATTTTTTCCATCTTTTTAACTGCAAAGAAAGCATTGGTTGGTAGCTGTTGTTTTGTTTGCTGTTGATCTGTTCATTTGGTTGCTAGCATGTGTGCACCTTAAAAAAAAGCAAAATACACTAGTCAGTAATTTCAAGCAATTGAACTTAATGTTTTTATTCTTTCTCCCACAAATGTCTCAGAATGAGTTGCTGAGACTTTATGTGACAGTTAATTAGAAAGGGGTGGACTCTGGAGGACTTGAAGCTATTCTCCTCTGTGGATCTCTGTACTTCTGCTGTGTAGCAAAAGGAAATGTTACCAGAAATTCAAAACTCTGCAATAGAAACATCTAAAAATATGCAGATGATAATTACTATCTGTAGCGGGCCCCTCTGAAGCCTCTGTCAACTCAGGCCTCCCAGAGTGCTCACTACTCTTCTTCAAACTGCTGCCACCAACCTATCCTTAATACTCAAAAAGGACAAGTGTTTCTTTCAAACAAAACGTTGTTTATTGATTTGACAAAATAAAAAGGAGTGAATCACAGGTGGTAAATCAGGTTGTAAATCAAGTTTCTCATTTAATGTACCTCACACAGACTTTTCCCTCACTGACTATCTCTCACAAATCTATCTCACTCTCTCAACCAATTTCTCTCATCTCCCCAAACTCCAAAACTCTCCCTCACACATCAAGCACACCCCTTATATAATCCAGCTCCTCCCCCTTCTGCACCACCCTCCGTCCTCTCATTGGCTGATGTTCCCCCGCCCAGCTGTGACAGACAGGTGAGAGCAGAGCTATATGTTACACTATCCATTGTGGTGTAGCAAACAGAGTAATAGACTAGGACTCAGGAAACCTTGACTTGATTTCTTGGCTGTGCCATGGAAACTCACTGGGGGTGGAATTGATTTTTTTAAAAAAAGACCACTCCTTAAATACTTCATTTATTTTGGAAATCCTATTAGAGTTGTGATAAGTCAGTCCTAACTTGATGGCACATAACAACAATTGTATTACTGGCAGAAAACAACAATAGCTTGAAATTAAAGAATAAAAAGTAAAAGCAGAATGAAAGTAAAAACTAGTGTTTTTGACATTAAGGAGTCAAAAATCATGACTACAGAAGAATTTGATAACTTTAATGTTGATAGTGAAGAACTCAAAATTGTTTAAGATTTTCTGTACCTCGGCTCAGTTATCAATCCGAATGGAGACTGCAGCCAAGAAATCAGAAGGAACCACGAAACCAGGAAGGGTAGCAGAGCTACTAGAAGAGATCTTCAAATGCAGGGATGTCTAACTGGAGATAAAAGTAAAGATTATCTACACTGTGTTATTCTAGATCACTATGTATGGGTATGAAAGCTGGGTAATGAAGAAAGCTGACGGGGGGAAATGATTCATTTTTAATGTGATGTTGTGATGTTGCTGGAGATCTTTATGAATGCCATGGACCACTAGAAAGACAAACAAGAGAGTGCTAGTTCACATCAAGACTGAACTGGAAACTAAAATTGTTTACTTAGAAGCTAAAAGGACGAAACTGAGGCTACCATACTTTGGCCATAGAATGAGAAGAAGACACACTGGAAAAGGCAATCATTCTAGGGAAGGAGGAAGGCAAGAAGAAAAGAGGAAGATCCAATATAGGATGGACTGGCTTAGTAAAGGAAGATATGGCCTGTAGTATTCAAGCCCTGAGCAGAGCTGTCAACTGATAGGAGATTTTGGAGGTCATTACTTTATAGGTTCACCATGATTCCAAAATGACCTGACAGCACGTAACAACCACCACCCAGATAGTGGAAGCTTCTGTAGAGAGAAATACGCACCAGTTTTAGACAGGTGGTTTTCATCTGGGTTGAGGGACGTGGTGGCGCTGCGGGCTAAACCGCAGAAGCCTGTGCTGCAGGGTCAGAAGACCAAGCAGTCGTAAGATCGAATCCACGTGATGGAGTGAGTGCCCGTTGCTTGTCCCAGCTCCCGTCCACCTAGCAGTTCAAAAGCACGCAAATGCGAGTAGATAAATAGGGACCACCTCAGTGGGAAGGTAACAGCGTTCCGTGTCTAAGTTGCACTGGCCATGTGACCACGGAAGATTGTCTTCGGACAAAAACGCTGACTGTATGGCTTGGAAATGGGGATGAGCACCGCCCCCTAGAGTCGAACACGACTGGACAAAAATTGTCAAGGGGAACCTTTACCTTTACCTTTCATCTGGGTATTGACAAAGAAAGAGAAAACAAGTGAATAAAACATCGTCTCTTGTCATGGTCCCAAGCCCCCTCAGACTCTCTCTTGGCTATTGCTTTGTATACAGAAAAAACAAATTTTGGACAGCATCTGTGCATGTTAATAGTAATGTAGCAGTTTAACTCCACAGTCTGGTTTGGCCTTTGGTGCTGTGTATCTAAAGGCCAACTTCCAAAGCAACCTTAACAACAACAACAACAACAACAACAACAACAACAACAACAACAACAACAACAACAACAACAACAACAACAACAAATCTTGGTTCTTCTCAATTTTCTCAATTACTTCCTCTAAGGCCCTGATTTCGATATACTGTATAATGGGATTTTTTCACAGTTAGCTAGCCATATCTTAAACTATTTAAAGCAAGCATGATACTGCTGTATCTGTATACCATCATTTTGCCCCTCACTATGCAATCAGTTACTGCTATTGATCAGATGTGTGGATCCACAAACATACTTTCCTATTTAGGACATTTCCTGTGATTTTCCAATAACAGATATCAGCAGGGAGAAGCAAAATTAGTGGCATACAGACAAGACACAGGCAACATTCTTCTTTTTGACTACTGGAAGAGGGCAAGCCAGGCAGTGTTGCAACAGGCAACATGAAGGCCAGCTGTGACATGTGGTAAAATGACTGTGTCACATTTTAACTTCGCAGAATAATTAGACTGGGTGCGCACAGAAAACACGTTGAGAGCTGCCTATGTCTCCATGACGGGCCTCCATAATCTCTCACAACAGAGCCCAGTACAACTCACCCGGGGTTCAGTAAGATACCTCTGGCGTGTTGTAGGAGTTTCAGCTCATTCTGGGTCACAAAGAACCACCTTGGATCTTTTAGGGGAAAGGTGGCAAATAAATGTTTAAATGAATTATACAAATTAAAAGTCCTGTGGCTTGTGGTTGTGCATTTGACTTGAAGGGTCACAAGTTGCACAGGCCAGTACTCTGTGTTATCCTGAAATATTTGCACCCAGATTCACCGATGTTTGTGTTAGTGTTGCAAATTGAGAAATAAAGTTCTAGAAACACTCAAATCCTCTTGATTGTTGCAACATCATATGAAATAACACCTTGAAACTACATTCTCCTTCAACACAGGCCAGTTTGCTTTGACACACACAGCTTTTCTCCCCCTCTGTTGAGACCTGGTCAGCAGCACTAGCAAGCAGGTCCTCAGTTGAACTTGAATTCAGTTGCCAATTCAGCACATTATGTGAGCAAATAACATCTCTCCTGAAGTTCTAGCAAGGTGTTGATTTGCAAGAATAACACTACTGTATATAATTTTATTTAAATCTGCTTTTGCCATTCTGGTGAGAAAATGTGATTCCTGCTGTTTAATTTCAGACAAAGCCACACATCTGTTAAATTAATGATATAGCAATTTTTATGCAACGCACCTGAACCCGTAGGCTAGAGTCCATGAAAGATAAAATGTTAAATGCAACTGGTTAGTTTTAAAAGTGCCTCAGGAACCTTTGTTTTTGCTGTAGCAGATGGTTTTCTTGAAGTAATCTTTACATATAAGTTCCTTTTGCGACGCATACCACCTTTGTGAATATGATTGTTCTGTGATTGTGCAAGAAATCTTTAGATGTACACTTTTGAAAACACGCTGCTATGAATTTAATTTTTCTAAAAACCAAGCCTATTAAAAACAAATGTTCTAGTACTCTGTACTCCGGGGAATGCAAAATATGGAACCACCAGTTTTCCTGATCCTTATTATCTTTGCTGTTTTCTGCCTGTTTCCAAATCTTGTCTTTCCCTTCTTTTCTATGGCAGTGTTTAAGCTTTAGGAAAGTGTTAAGAGGAAACCTTTCTGCAATCTACTTTGCTCACCTAATACCTGGCCATGTGCCAGCTGTACTTCCTGCCAGCTGTGCCCTGGAGAAAAACACAGCCCGTGCCTTGCTTGAGTGTTGATTGAAGGGCAACCCTCAGACTTCAAGAATGAGGGCAAAGATTTTCCAGTGGTTCCCTTGTGAACAGGAACAGTTTGTGGATGGGCTGAGGGGGAAGTACCCAGTAAATTTTGAGGAGTTAACTCGTGCTGGAGCCTCAACCTGCTTGTGCTTATCACAGAACAGTGAAATTGGAAGGAGCCTATAAGGCCATTAAGTCCTACTCCCTGCTCAATGCAGAAATTCAAATCCAAGAATATCTGATGGTTGTTGTGGGTTTTTCGGGCTCTTTGGCCGTGTTCTGAAGGTTGTTCTTCCTAACGTTTCACCAGTCTCTGTGGCCGGCATTTTCCAGAGACTGGCGAAATGTTAGGAAGAACAACCTTTAGAACACGGCCAAAAATCCCGAAAAACCCACAACAACCATTAGATCCCAGCCGTGAAAGCCTTTGTGAATACCAAGAATATCTGCCAGGTGGTTGTCTCTCTTGAGTGCCTCCAGTGTTGGAGCACTCACCACCGCTCAAGGTAACTGGTTCCATTGCCACACTGATCTGTTGTTGTTGTTTAATCATTTAGTCATGTCCGACTCTTTGTGAC